TAAAAGACTACCACTTCTATAGTCATTTAAATATTTAAGCATTCATAAATGAAAACTTATCATTTGAAATAAGAATTACATTAATATGACATAAATAACTTTGGTAAAATGCTTCATAAAATTTGGGGAAATTTTTTGTACCTATACTCCCATATGCAGCACTTATCTGTTTTTATCTAAAGTAAGATAATCTTGAGAAACATTCTTGAAATATATGTTTTCTTTTTCCTGTGGGAGCACTCAGAGATTAGTAAAAGTTTTAAAAAGATACTTAATAATTCAATGAGATTTTTTTTTTAATGGCTACTATCATTCTTTGGCCTATACCAGTGGTCGGCAAACTCATTAGTAAACAGAGCCAAATATCAAAAGTACGATGATTGAAATTTCTTTTGAGAGCCAAATTTTTTAAACTTAAATTTCTTCTAATGCCACTTCTCCAAAACAGACTTGCCCAGGCTGTGGTATTTAGTGGAAGAGCCACACTCAATGGTCCAAAGAGCCGCATGTGGTTCTCGAGCCACAGTTTGCTGACCACAGGCCTATACTAGTACAGAGGTCATGCTTAATCTTACTCAGAAAACAAAGATTATACCAGCTGAGTACAATCATTCTCTTTACAACCACAGAAAGTATCTAATATTATCAGTTGAGCTAAGACAGATAACTTACAGAAGACAAACCCAATTTTAAGAAATAAATATAAATCACTAAAGAGACTTAGCAATGTGTTATGAAGTACACATCCATTCAACAAGGAGAAAATAAAACATTGTTTCCATCACTGCTTGCAAACTTAAGACCATTGTGCAATAAAGTTTAAAAAGCAACACGAGAGATTATAAGGAAACATATGCTTAAATGTCAAATTAGTAATGTGAACAATAAGTAAGATCTGAGGAGAGATTATATCCAACTCTTTTGAAGATACTTCCAGACTATGTACCTGGTTTAGTTTTTACTACAGAAATCAATCAGATTGTTTAAATCACATGTGTCAAACACAAGGCCCGCGGGCCAAATCCGTCCCGCCAGGCCTTGCAAAGTGGCCCGCACTGCGCTGTCATCACTGAACTCCGCTGCGTTTCCATCACAATGACAGTTTATGACTGTTCAGTAAACCATTCGGCCAGCGATTTAGCCTGGATTTTAGATTTTGGCCCCTTCTCTGATTGAGTTCGACACCCCTAGTTTAAATTATTGTAATTTTTTTTTTAATGTAGAAGCACTGGGGTTGTAGATTCTGGCTAGAAAAGGCAGAAAGGAGTAACTGGGTAGGAAATTTGACTAAGTGACCTAAGGTCACTTCCTTGGGCATACAGTTCTTTCTTGACTTAAGAACATATAAAATCTGAAACATATGGTAGTACAGTTATGTGAAAACTGTATTCATAAAATACTGAAGTGTTCTAAGACAATGATTTTCAAACTCTACTGAACATCTAATAACATTTAACAACTGAGTACCTTGTTAAACCATTTAGATGCTTATGTAGTATCTCAAACCTTTTGAATCAGAATTTATAAATGTGCAGTCAGGGCATTTGTATACTGAGCAGCTCCCCCAGGTGATTCTGATGTGCAGTGTGAGAATTAAGTGTTATATAATTCAGTACACAACCTTCAGTAGCAAGAAAGCCTGAGTTCAAAAGCCAGTTGTGTTTTTTAAATATATTTTTATTGATTTCAGAGAAGATGGGAGAGGGAGAGATAGAAACATCAATGACAGAGAATCGTTGATTGGCTGCCTCCTGCACGCCCCCTACTGAGGATTGAGCCTGCAACCTGGGCGTGTACCCTTGACCGGAGTGGAACCTGGAACCCTTCAGTCCGCAGGCTGATGCTCTATCCACTGAGCCAAACCAGGTAGGGCCAAATCCCAGTTCTAATACTTAATACACTGTGACCACCAACTAACTCCCTAACACTATTTCTAACCTTTTCTTTAAAAAAGTGGGAAAATACCACATGTTCTTCAAGTGATTTCTCTGAAGATTAAAGATGATGAGGCATGTAAAATGTTTAGTACAATTCCTGAAATATTTAGGAAGCATTCAATGAATTCATTCATTTAACAAACATTTATTAAGCACTTACACAGTATCAGAAGATGAGAAACATCTCATTCAATTATTAAGTGTTAATAAATATGGCAACTCTGTAATAGTGTTATGAGAACACATAATTAGAAGAATCTATCCTAATCAGGAAAGTCTTCCTGAAGTGAGCTGCATGATGAGTTGGCATTAACTGGATGGAAAGGAAAGGAAATGCATTTCCAAGCAGAAGAAGCTTCATAACCAAAAGCCATGTGCCTGAAGCAGAACAGTGACTAGGGAAGAAAGGAATGCCGAAAAGCAGTGTGGAGATGAGGTTGGAAAGTCAATAAGGGGACCCAAGCAGGCTGTTAAGAACTTTAGTTTCTTTTATAAACAATGATGAAAAGTCACTGAAGGCGACATATTGGAGACAATATGATTAGATCTATATTTTTAAAATGTCACTTAGTATGGGGTGGAAACCTAGAAGGAGGCACTGTAAATGCAGCTAGACCATAATTAGGTGGCTAGTGATACTTCACATGAGAGATGATCGTGGCTGGATCTAGTGGCAAAGGTGAAGACAGACAAATATTCAAGAAGCACAGTCAACGGGACTTAGAGATTGATAATGAGGAAGCTGTCACACTTCTCCTATAGAAAACTAGAGGTGTGGTGCATGACATTCATGCACTTGGGGTGGAGATGGGAATGGGGGGAGGGGGGATCCTCAGCTGGGCCATCCTGTGCCCTTTCACAGTCCAGGAGCCCTCGCAGGATGTCCACAGGGAGCAGGCCTAAGGCGTCAGTCAGACACCCTTATCACACCGACATGGAGGCCGGCTGCTGTGCTCAACAGCCTATCAGTCTGTCAGCCCAGTCTGTGGCTGAGTGGTGCTCTCCTTATGGGAGCACGCTGACCACCAGAGGACAGCACCTGCATGGAGCATCTGCCCCCTGGTGGTCAGTGCCCGTCATAGCAACCAGTCATTCCTATTTGCATATTACCTTTTATTATATAGGATTATATAGGATGATAGATGATGAAGCCAGTCACTTGAGTTAAACACAATAAGAGGACCTATTTGGGGGGGGGGGGGGGGGCGGGCGGGTAGGAGGGGAGATAAAATCATGAATTTCAAACATGTGATCAATGCTAGTTATTCACAATTATAGGGTTATTTATACAGAAATATTCTGTTGTATGGAAGTATAATGTGCTTGTATTTATTTTATTGGTTGTTTGTGGGTCTTAGAGACAAAAGAATAAGTTTCTGAGGTTTCTGCACATGTGTAAAGTGGATCTGAAAGAATTAAGGTCCTCCCCTTTCTTAGGTTCCTTTCTTTTACACAATGCCCCAGAAGCGTCTTTTAAGAGTACAGTTTAATAGTGACAAGAATTTTACCTATACTCCGCTGATAAGTCATTTTTAAATTTAAAAAAAAAAAATTTACATTCATTCGAAAGAATAAGACAGGAAGCCAAACAAAAGCACCTGACTCTCAAACCATTACCAGAGCATGAGGGGGTTTTACAGGGACAGGCTGTAAAACTATGTTAATTTTCCAGAATGGAGAGGCACATGAATCCAATCTGTAAAGCAAATCATCATACAGACAATACCTGAATTTGATCTACAAAAAAAAAAAATAATAATAATAATAATAGCTTGCAACTTACAAAAAAAAACATCTTGCAACTTACAACTGTAAGTCACTACTGCCTTTAAGTCGCTTAAGTCTGGAGACTCATGAACAACTGTTACAGGAGGTGACTTGACAGCAGCGGTCTCCTTAATTACTAATCATAGGAAGGTATTCATTCGTATCGCAAGAAGTTTTTTTTGCAAGCTTTACAGGTCTAAACCGTCCTCCATCCTTTCTGTCCCGCTTAGGAGAAAACCTCGAGCGGACGGCGTTTCTTCGGTCTTAACAAAACACCTGCCCCACCCTCCTCCAGCACAATAACCTTCCGTTCCAGAACCAGAGCCCCAGTCAGAGCGCGGGGGCCCCGGGGGAACGGCCCAGGCTATCCGAGGCCGACCCCAGCCCCACGGGGAGCCATCTCCTCCTGTCCCAGAGGAGGGTCCAATGTCCCAAAAAAGGGAGCCCAGAGTTCGCCGACGGAAACCCGAGCTACTCGCTCCCGGGCCGGAGCGGGGCGCTCTCCCGGCGGCAGACGGCTCCAGCCGCGGTCTCCTCCCGTCGCTCCCAGGCCTCGTCCGGGGGCTCGGGCCTCGCTCGGACCCGCTCCCCGAGCTCCACGGCGCGCGGGCGGGCGCCCACACAGCCCGGCCCTCGGCCCGCAGGCCCGTCCCCCTAGCAACAGTCGCCAGCACCGGGGGTCCGGGGAGGCCTAGCCGGGGCGCGGGTCCTCCCCCGTCTCCCCCTCGCGGGCCTCCCTCGGAAGCCCGTGCGGAGCGCGGCCGGTGAGGGAGGTCACTCGGGGCCCGTGGGGGGGGGGGGGGGCGGTCACTCACCCCTTTTCCTCTTTTCCCCCGGGAGGGGCGGTGCTGGGTCGTCTCCCCGGCCCTCACCAACGCCTCCAGGCGGCTCCGGCTCGGCTTCGGCGGAAGCAGCCACCTCACTCCATAGCCTCTGCCACCCGCGCGCCCTCACAGGCTGGAGCCGGAGGAGGGACGGGGGAGGGGAGGGGAGGGCCTGGGGAGAAAGTAAGGGAGAGGGAAGAAGACCCGGAGACCGGCCGGCCAGGGCATGACGTCACTTCCCGCTGGTTCGGAAGGGGCGGGGCCTGCGGGGGCCGCCTTGGTCTCCGCCCCCCGAGGATCAGGTGGGGGCGGGGCTTAGGGCCGGGGCGGGGCTGAGGCCACCTAGGTCTCCGCCCCCCAAGGATCAGGTGGGGGCGGGGCTTAGGGCCAGGGCGGGGCTGAGGCCACCTTGGTCTCCGCCCCCCGAGGATCAGGTGGGGCGGGGCTTATGGCCGGGGGCGGCGCTTCGGGCCGGCGCGAGAGCGAATGGCGGGTCTTTTGACTCCGCGCTGGTGTCATATCGGCCTCCCTCTGCAGCCAGAAGCGAGCTCTCAGGCCCAGGGCGGAGCGGGTCCGAGTTTCGTAAGCCGTGGAAGTGGCTTCTGCCGGAAAAGGACAGGTAACCCAACCAAATATTAGGATCTAGGGGAGGGCGGCTGAGGGGAGCCGTTGGTTTGGCCCTAGCTGCACCTCAGGTTTCTGGGGCCCGCCCCCTTCCTGGCCCCGCCCCCTTCCTGATCTTGGCCCCGCCCCTCCCCGTGCTTCTGCCCTCTCTGGTCTGGACTTTAAGATCCCTGATGGAGCTTTCTCCGAACCACTCTCTCTTTGGGAAGTCCAGGAAAGCAGCGATTTTCAAACTTTAATGTGCACACGAGTCATTTGGGGATTTTGTTCAACCGCAGTGTGTGGATGCAGGAATAGCCTGATAATCCGCGTTTCTTATAAGTGCTGTTGCAAGGCTGTGGGTCCACTTGCTGCACTTAGAACTACCGGGGGTTGAAGTATTTACTAGGTGGCAAGTTCCTTGAGCACAAGTTCCTAGTTCTTCCAGCCCACTTGTTTAATGAAAGTTAAAGGCACATGGTCCGTTGGGAAATATCATTGTCTCCACCACTCAGACTTCTACCTTCTCCACCCCACTCCAGCCCTACCCCATCCTTCACGCCCAAAGTTGGTGCAATCTTAGTAAATATTGTATAGTTTGCCTAAGATTGGGGGAGTAGAAACTTAACAATGGCAGCAGATAAGCCATTAAAAAAAAAAAAAAAAAAAAAGCATAAGGTTGTCCTAGCCCAGTGGTCGGCAAACTGCGGCTCGTGAGCCACATGCGGCTCTTTGGCCCCTTGAGTTGTTAGCAAAGGCCAGCTTAGGAATACCCTATTTAAATTAATAACAATGTACCTACCTATATAGTTTAAGTTTAAAAAATTTGACTCACAAAAGAAATTTCAATCATTGTACTGTTGATATTTGCCTCTGTTGACTAATGAGTTTGCCGACCACTGTACTAGCCGGTTTCTCAATGATTTAGGGCATCAGCCCAGGGACTGAAGAATCATGGGTTCAATTGTGGTCAAGGGCATATACCTCAGTTGCAGGCCCCATCCGTCCGGATCGTGGGGGAGGCAACCAATCGATGTGTCTCTCACACATCCATGTTTCTCTCTCTCTTTCCCTGCCTTCCTTCCACTCTATCTAAAATCAATGGAAAAAATAGCCTGGGTCAGGGGGAGCAGAAGAATATCCTTGAGTGAGGATTAACAACAACAAAAACAAAAAAGCATAAGGTTGCCCTGGCCTGGTGGTTCAGTCGGTTGGAGCATTATCCCGACAATAAAATCATGTCCTCAGATGAGTATTTTTTAAAAAAGCATAGGTGTCAAAACTGAAAAAACTTAAATATTTTAATTTTGTGTAATTTAAGCATGTGTTTGGTTTTTTTGTTTTAATTTTCAGGATGTTCTGGTCCTTTTCAACCTACTCAGCTATAGGATGGTATTATTCATTCCCATGAGACTCAAGTGGAAATAAAAAGGAGGCGGCATCATCTACGAACACACAAAGACTGTTTTACTGGTTCTGATACTGTTGGTGTAGTATTAAGTCATCTTATGCAAAATATGTGCCTAAGTAGTTATGATCTCTCTTGTCTTAAAGGAGTTCATCTTTGCCAAGTTCTAATGAACCATAAAGTATTTCAACTAGTAGGAGTGAGGCTATTCAAAAATGAGAAGGATTTAATAATAAAAAAAAAATACTGTTAAAAAAAATGAGAAGGAGTTGAAATTTGAAGATTCAAACAATAGACTACATAGGTTTCTCGGCAACAAATCGTCTTACTTTTTTGTGAAAGAAAAAAGGATGCTGAGAATGGATTTAACAGATAAAATAAATGCAAAAAAATCTTCAAGGTTAGTGTTAATCACAATACTGTATTGTATTTAGATTATGGCAGAACAGTTGTCATTGAGCTAAAATTGAATATTATGCTTTCAGTATTTTTCAGAAGTCAATAAAAGAAATAACCGTGCCGAAACCGGTTTGGCTCAGTGGATAAAGCGTCGGTCTGCAGACTGGAAGGTCCCATGTCTATTCCGGTCAAGAGCATGTACCTTGGTTGCAGGCACATCCCCGGTGGGGGGTGTGCAAGAGGCAGCTGATAGATGTTTCTCTCTCATCGATGTTTCTAGCTCTCTATCCCTCTCTCTTCCTCTCTGTAAAAAATCAATAAAATGTATTTTTTTAAAAAAAGAAAAGAAATAACCGTGTAAAAATTCAACATTTCAGCATTTGCTCTAAAACTGTGGTGGAGGACATTAGCACAAATTTTGCATAATTTATACCAGGAAAAACTTTATATCCTGTGATGAATTGTATGTTTCCTAATTTTGAAAAATGACTTAACCAAAGTAAAAAATAAAAAAATAAAAAATAAAAAAGGTTTCTGGAAACTGTGCAAAAGTTTTCTATCATAGTAACAGTGTTCACCTTATAATTATTCTTTAAAATATATTCTTCTCTTTATTTACAACCCTAATCTATCCTCTTTTGGTGATATTCTATTATGTAATAACTAGAGGCCCAATGCACAAATTCATGCACTGGAGGGGTCCAGCTGATCTGGTGGATTGGACTCAGGCCTGTGGGGAGGAGGAGATGGCAAGAGGTTGGCCAGCCAGCCCGTCCCTGATTGGAGCCCAATCAAGGCTGGGCCTGTTGGGGGAAGAGAACGTGTATGATTGGCCCTGGGGACCCGCCCCTAATTGGATAGGGGGCCAATTGAGGGTGGGTCAGCTGTGGGGTGGGTCTGTGGGTGGTGGGTCAGCCAATCCCACCCCTGATTGGTGTAAGGGTGCCAATCAGGGTAAAAACTGCCTGGGGGAGGGGCACGGGCCAAAAGGGCTGGTGGGGGCTGATCTGGATGGGGCTGGCTGGGGAAAGGGGCTGTCGCAGAATGTAGGGGCCTTGCCCCTGATCAGAGTGGGAGGGCTGATTGGTGGTGGAGCTGGCTGGAGCCACAGGCTATTGGCGGCAGGCTCTGCCCCTGATGGGGGTGGGGGTCTAATCAGGGGTGGGGCTGGGCAGGGGTAGGGACTGCAGGAAGTGGGCTGGCTGGCCCTGCCCCCTATTTCTGTGAGAGGAGCAACAGGGGCAGGACTGCTGAGTTGGGGGGAAAGGCCAGGGGGGTGGGAATTGGCTGCCACTCCGCCCTTGATAGGGGTGGGAGAGGCCTATCGGGGGCGGGGTCTACTGGAGGGGAGGGGCCTAGGGAGGTTGGCCAGCTGGCCTCAAGCCTAATCCACTGGTTTGCTGGCTGTAATGGTGTCATAGCAACTGGTCATTCTAGTTATGGCATTCAGGTGGCTGGCTTTTTATATATATAGATTTTATTACTTGTGTATTTATTGTAAGCTGCCTGAGATATTTTTTGGAACTAGTGAATATAAGATTAAGTTTAATAAGTTGTTATTTGAAAATTTGGTCCTATATATAATGGAAAAATTCACTTATTATTTCTTAACAGACCAGAAGATGAAAGTTTCAAATCCTCTAGCACAGAAATTGGTGAGAAAAGAATTAAGGAACTTATTCATGCAAAGAGAGGGAATCTGGCTTTACCTCCAAATATCACAGTTGACAAACCTGTTCTCCTGCTTTCAAAAGAAGGTAATTTGTTTTCATTATTTTTTTCAGAAGTTTGTAATGAAGAACTGACTTTTAAAAAAATAAACTTTATATTTTAGAACAGTTTTAGGTTCACATAAAAACTGAGCAGAATGTATAGAGAGTACCCATATACTCCTGTCCCACAGCCTTCCTCACTGTCAACAACCTGCACCAGAATGGTGGTTACAATCCATGGGCCTCCAGTGATAGATCATTGTCAAGCCCATAGTTTACATTCATGTTCACTCTTGGTGGTGTGTATTCTAGGGGCTTTGACAGATGTATAATGACATGTATCTACCATTATAGTATCGTACAGAAAAATCCTCTATGCTTCACCTATTCACCCCTCCCTTCCCCCTGACCCCTGGCAACCACTGATCTTTTTACTGTCTCCAAGAACCTACTTTTCAGATATAATACAATAAAAGCAGTGTGTTTGGCATATTGACTCACTATTCTCTTCCCCGTAAAAGTTTCCTTCTACCTAGCAATTACGTCAAACAAGACAAGTGAGGCAACTTTGATCCAATAACATTTAGTTTATTTTTTTGCAACCATGATCAGATTAACCGAAGGTGCTCTACTCTGCACTACTAGTCCTTATTCTTTTTAATCCAGTACCATCATCTTCTAATGAGTGTATCCTCTGACCATTGTGTGAGCCCGTCCTGAACATCTCCCTGCCATTTGCCTTTCAAAACAAACTAAGCTACTCCTCTTGACTATATACTTCATCTACTTGTGGTTTTCTCCTTATTATGTCACCAACAGTGGAAAGAAGAGCCCCATACGCAGGGCAATTAAGAGGAATGCATACACAATTCAATTAATGGTTAAACCCTCTACTATAGGGGTGTCGAACTCAATCAGAGAAGGGGCCAAAATCTAAAATCCAGCCTAAATCGCGGGCCGAATGGTTCACTGAACAGTCATAAACTGTCATTGTGATGGAAACGCAGCGGAGTGCAGTGATGACAGCGTGGTGCGGGCCACATTGCAAGGCCTGGTGGGACGGATTTGGCCCGCGGGCCTTGTGTTTGACACATGTGCTCTACTGCATCTGGTCAAACCATGAGAGAAGCAAGACAAGCATTGTTTGCATCCTGGAGGAGCAAAGACTACCAAGACACAGTAGGGAAGGAAAGCTGGTATTCTTATGTACATTTTGTTAAACGTCTTATTTTTGTGTGTGTGTGTGTTATATATGCATGTAATGTAAAACATTCACAGAATCCTATGGGTTTTGTTACCAAAAAAATAGCAGTTGCCTACCATTCTCCCCATCCATTGCCCTTTCCCTATGACAGCCATTTACAACGTATTTCCCGTTACTCTAAATAGCATGCTTATATTGCTAGGTCATGATTTTTTTCAGTTTTGGCTACTAAAATGATTATTCATTTTTCCACAGAGGAAATTGGGGTTTTAGGCCTTTTCCTTACCTCTGTCTCCCAATACTTGAAATAATACATACGCTTTTATACTATTTTTTGTGTAATATACTGTTTAACAAAAAACATCAGGTGAAAATAGGAGGAATATATGTAGGCCTAAGATTTTCATTAAGATGGAGATTTTAAACATTAAGTAAGAAAACAATAAACTATTAAGTGTTATGTATATATAGAGAGAGATTTTATGTTAAAACAAAAATCAGCCAAGTCTAGGAACCACTGCTTTAGTTTAGACTGCTTATTTTATAGATGAGAGGTCCAGTGCACAAAATTTGTGCAAGGGTAGGGTCCCTAAGCCTGATCTGTAATCAGGGCTGATTGGCGCCTTCCAGCTACTCCTCGGGGCCTTCCTTCATTCCACACCACGCCCTGGTAGTCATCCCATGTCATAGAGAGCAATTGAACTCCATGTTTCCCAGTAGAACTCCCGAGAGGACACTTTGCATATTAGCCATATATACATATGGAAAATTAGAGAAATTGGATAATATGACAAGTTTTTACAGTTAACTAATGGAATTACAATTTAGACCTAGATTTTCATACTCTATCTATTGTTTATCATTATTGTTGCAACAAAGTGTTGTAAATGATAAAATGTGGGAATGAAGTGTATTTGGTATGACAACTGAATGTGTCAGCCTTCAGAATAGAGGAACACAAAAAACTGTTTTAGTTTTCTAACAATAGCATTGTTTTCAGAGAAATAGTTCTTTAATAAGTTACTAATAGGAATTTTTCCTTTTTTTTAAATCCAGTAAGGTGGGATTTTTGTTCTTTGGTTTATAAAAAGGTTTGCAAAAGAGAACTAACTTCAGATTGACCGGTAGCTCTTATATTTAATGCATTAAAAAGTTCACTTTTTTGGAAGTTACATTTTCATACTAAAACTTTTGGGAGAAGTATATTAGGAAATTTCTCTGCTCTAACAAATCAGACATGAATAAAGTTTAATGCTATCCACTGAAATCTGATTCTTCTGTGATCCTCAAGCACAAAAACAACCCCATGAGAGCTGTGCCCATATGTGGGTATTGACAAATGTGGACCGATTGGTTAGAGGCTATTTATGATCTCAAGTCTTTACTAAAAGATTGTTAATTTGATTTCCTTTTGGCCAATAGCTCACAGGTAGCAAACTCAGGTGAATTTAGGAGCCAAGCAGACTTGAGAGCCAGTGAGTACTTACTTATCAAAACATATAGGAAAAAAGTACACTATTGTTTTGCTTGAAATATATGGCCCTTTCGGGCTATTTTTCCTTTTCTGGCTTAACACAAAGATATAATTACAGGGAAATTAATTTTTAATGTAGTAAAGCCAACAGAACAATACCATGAAAATGGTATCTAGCATTCAGCTGGGATACAGCAGATAGCAGTGGATTTGTGGTTAACTTGAAATAACATGCAAGTTAGAAACATAAATGAGAGAGACATCCATCAGCTGCCTCTTGCACACCCCCGACTGGGGATGTGCCTGCAACCAAGGTACCTGCCCTTGACTGAAATCGAACCCTGGACTTTTCAGTTCGCAGGCCGACGCTCTACCCACTGAGCCAAACCAGTTTCGGCCTGTCCCTTAATCTTTTTTTTAATTATTATTATTGATTATGGTCTCACATAATTGTACTTATTCCCCCATTCCTATCCCAAACCCCTCCCTAGATATGCCCCACCCCCACCCCACCCCCGTTGTCCATGGCCACTGGCTAGGCCCATATATATGCACACAAGTCTTTTGGTTGATCTCTTCCCCTTACCCCCATCCTCCCTTACTTTCCCTCTGAGGTTTGAGAGTCTGATCGCTGGTTCTCTTTCTCTGGGTCTGTTTATGTTGTTCATTATTTCCTCTAAATGTGTGAGATCATGTGATCCAAGAAATACCTTGATTGGAGCTTAGGCTCACAGTATTTAGCGAGTGGCTATCATCATAAAACTTTTTAAAAGTACAAATTGAAGAAATGTTACCTATATATTATATAACATTTTAATATTTTCTTCTGTGGTATCAAGGTACTGCCTGGAGTCTTTTTTTCACTTCACTAATGTTGCCTGCCATGTAAATTGTACCATTCAATATAACTAATGCACTGTAGAACATTATATCAAAGGTAATTATATCACAGGGACATTCTAACAAACATTTTGATATAATACGGGATTAGAAAACTGTGGTATTTAGTGACCTTTTAGCAAAATAAAAATAGAGTGACATAGTATCGCAACTTTTTTAGCTACGTAGGTGGCTATATAATTCCATGTTGAAAACAAAATACGGTTTGATAATGCTGGATGTAATTACACAGGTGTTTGACATATATAGAATTATATAGACAATTTCCAGTATGTTTGAAATATTTCTTAACAAAAACTTTTAAGTTGTAAAAAAGAATCCACAAACCAAATACAGCATCATAGCATTTTAATTGCTACTTTTAATTGGCTACTAAATTCTATAATCTCCATTTTTTGTCTCATTCTTTGTCATTTTGGTAATGCATGTAGCAGAAAGTGAGATAAGAACAGAAGCACTGGAGGCAACACAATTCCATCTAAGATTGTGGTTGTAGCCAGAACCAGTTTGGCTCAGTGAATAGAGCATTGGCCTGCTGACTGGAAGGTCCCAGGTTTGTTTCCGGTCAAAGGCATGTACCTTGATTGCAGGCACATCCCCAGTGGGGGCTGTGCAGGAGGCAGCTGGTCGATGTTTCTCTCTCATCGATTTCTAGCTCTCTATCCCTTTTCCTTCCTCTCTGTAAAAAATCAATAAAATATGTTTAAAAAAAAAAAAAAGATTGTGGTTGCCCAACAATAGAGAAGAATTAGGACGGCTACTTACTCTTATGGCTATTGCATCAGAGCCATACTTGTAATGCCTACAAGTTACAAAAACAGGTAACAAAATATAACAATGTGACAGTTTTTGGCTACTTTAAAACTGTTTGAATGGACAACAGTGTAGTAATTGAGAAGGAGGCGGGGAGAGGTGATGGGGGAGGGTTAAGGAGGGATAAGTGTTCATGAATGGAGACCTGACTGGGTGATAAACACAATGCAGTGTACAGATGATGTGTTGTGGAATGTGAGCCTGAAACATGTATAACTTTGTTAACCAATGTCACCCCAATAAATTTAATAAAAAGAAAAAAAAACTGTTTGAGATAATGTAATCTTTCTGTTTACAGTATAATGAAACAGTTGTCCTGAAAACTTGCCAAAGCAGTTTTTCATACCAAATCATTATCAAAAGTATGGGCAGAACAACTCATCTGGTTTCTACTGGAATATCACTCTGAGCTCTTCAAGGTATCTCTGGCATTTTGCCTGGGCACATTGAGTACCAACCAAGCTATTTCTGTTAAGCAAAAAAGGCAAGTAATTCACTTAATAAATAATCTATTAAGTGCCTGGAATGTGCAAAGTTTGAAGGAATGCTCTCTTCCCCTACCCACTAAAAAGAAGGAAGCTGACTTAATGTCAATATTTGAAAATATATTAATTTCTTCAACCTATTTCTGGTGCATTACTATGTGCCAGGCACTGTTTTATTTAGGTGCTTAGAATATAATACATTAGCAAACAAAACACGAAGATGAGGATCCTTGAAGAGCTTATATCCAGATGATCATGACAGACAATAAAAATATACACACAGTCCTCACCGGTTTGGCTCAGTGGAGGGTCCCAGGTTCGATTCCAGTCAAGGACATGTACCTTGGTTTCGGAAACATCCCCAGCAGGGGGTTTACAGGAGGCAGCTGATTGATGTTTCTCTGTCATCAATGTTTCTAACTCTCTATCCCTCTCCCTTCCTCTCTGTAAAAAGTCAATAAAATATATATTTTTAAAAATACACACAATCAAGTCAATTCATATAGTTTGATGGGGGCAATAATGCAATAGAAAAAGAAAAAAAGAGCAGGTTCAGAGGACTTATGGTGCTAGAGTGGGTATGACTGGGGACTTATTGTATTAAACAGGGTGGCCAACATTGGGCTCAAGGGGAGAGTAAAATTTGAGCAAAGACTGGAAGAGTCAACCAATGACTGTGGGGGTGGGAGTCATGGTTTAGGGGAGAGAGATTGGGTCCTAGAGCAGAGGCTCTGGGGGTGACCCAACCCATTTTTAGTGAAGTGATAAGCAGAATGGAAGGCAGTATGAGATGAGGTCAGAGATGTGGGGGCCCTTGTAGGCCATTGGAGAGACTTTGCTCCTCCTTGGAATAAAATGGGGAATCACTGGAGGGTTTGAGCAAAACCTTGGCCTGATATGACTGACATTTATAAAGACAGACTAGAGGCATGGTGCATGAAATTCATGCATGAGGAGGGATGTCTCTCAGCCCAACCTGCACCCTCTCTAATCTGGGACCCCTCGAGGGATGTCTAACTGCCCATTTAGGCCCAATCCCTAATGGGATCACAATCCAGGACTGCTGGCTCCCAACTGCTCACCTGCCTGCCTTCCTGATTGCCCCTAACCGCTTCTGCCTGCCAGCCTGATCACCCCCTAACCACTCCCCTGCCAGCCTGATTGATGTCTAACTGCTCCCCTGCCAGTTAGATGGGCCCTAACTGCCCTCCCCTGCAGACCTTGTCATCCCTAACTGGCCTCCCCTGCAGACCTGGTCCCCCTCAACTGCTCTCCCCTGCAGGCCTGGATCCTCCCCTCCCCCCCCAAACTGCCCTTCCTCCAGACCTAGTCACCCCCAACTTTCCTCCTCTGCTGGACTGGTCACCCCTAACTGCCCTCCCCTGCAGGCTTGATCACCTCTACCTGCCCTCCCTTGCAGGCCTGGTCCCTCCCAACTACCCTCCCCTGCTGGCCATCTTGTGGTGGCCATCTTGTGTCCACATGGGTGCAGCCATCTTTGACCACATGGGGTAGCCATCTTGTGTGTTGGAGTGATGGTCAATTGCATATTACTCTTTTATTAGATAGGCTGTGGCTTTTGTGTTGAGAATAAATTGTTGAGAGGCAAGGGTAAAAGCAGGAACATCTTTTAGCAGACTGTTGTAATAATCTGGGCAAGAGGGGTAGCAATAGAATTAGTAAAATGTGATCAGATTTACAAAATATATCAAGAAAATGATTGTTTTTTAGTTTCACTACTATATTTTAATACTGATAGTGGTACTTTTAGTAGTATTTCTCCAAAGCCTGTACAAAAAAATTGTTTCCTTCATTTTTTTGCTTAAAAATTGTGTCTCATATCATAAGAAATTAACATTGGTTCAAATTTTGTAGTTCTGTCAACCTTAACTGAAGTTTCTTTTCCATTATTTCAGAGAAAAAGGTGGTAATTAGAATTTGCAAGAAATAGTCCCCATATTATGAATTTTGAATGAAATATATTTTAGAAACTCATTTGTAAGTCAGTTGTTATGTACATAGTTATTTTTGTTTTTGTTTTAATCAAAATCCTATATCATAAAATTGACCAAACGGTGGAATGACCAGTTGCTATGATGCTCACTGACCACTAGGGGCAGGAGCAAATACTCAATGCAGGAGTTGCCCCCTGGTGATCAGTGCACTCCCACAGGGGGAGCACCGCTCAGCCAGAAACCCTGAACCAGTCTCATGGCTGGTGAACTCAGCAGCAGAGCGGCAGCAGTGCTAAGGACACTCGGGGGATGTCTACCTGCCAGCGTAGGCCCACTTCCCTGCAAGAGGGCGCAGCCAGGCTGAGGGACACCCCCTCCCCAAATGCACAAATGTCGTGCACCAGACCTCTAATATATATCGGGTCTAGTAATAATTAATGTCGATTTTAAACATTCGTTTAAAATCTTACTTGGCGTTGACTTGTATTGACATAACCTTCAAACACGTGGTATCTACAGAATGTGTGAAGTGCAATTAACAAGGGCTAAGAAGATGGCGGATGAAGAGCATATTCGGCACTGCATGCTTTAAGAGTTCCAATTAGGAAGAAAAGCAAGTGAGGCTGCAAAAAACATCTGTAGTGCTCTTGGTCAAGATGCAGTTAGCGCCAGAAAATGCCAGCATTGGTTTGAGAAATTTCGCGAGGGAAATTTTTCGTTAGATGACAAGAGTGGTCGAGGCCGTGTGTCCAATTTTGATCAAAAAGCTCTTCAAGCTCTTTTGGTGCAAAATCCTCAAATTACCCAACAAGAGCTTGCGACAACTTTAAATTGTTCACAAAAAACAATTTCCAATCAATTGTGTGCACTTGGCAAAGTCCAAACGTTTGGAAAATGGGTTCCTCATGAGTTGACCAACAACAACCGTAATCAAAGAGTCACAATTTGCAGTTCGCTCCTCTCTCGTCAAAACCGTTTGCCGTTTTTAGAGCAAATTGTTACCGGAGATGAAGAATGGGTGCTGTATGTTAATTTGAAAAGGCGGCCTCAATGGTTGGACAAAAATGAGGCTCTGCAGCCCACGCCAAAACCCAACTTGCATGCGAAAAAAGTGATGTTGTGTGTTTGGTGGAATTTTAAAGGAACTCTTCATTATGAACTTTTACCATCTAACCAAACCATTACAAGTGCAGTGTATAGTGCCCAATTGGAAAGGTTAGCCCAAGCTTTAAGAGAAAAAGAACCCGCGCTGATTAATCGGAAGGGTGTAATTCTTCACCACGATAACGCACAACCGCATACTGCAAGAATCACTGCTGAAAAACTGCGCCAGTTGGAATGGGAAGTTCTCCCTCAACCTGCATATTCTCCTGATATTGCCCCTTCCGATTACCATTTGTTTCGTTCTTGCAAAACTTTCTTCTTGGAAAAAAATTTAATAATGAAGAATGCCTCAAAAATGCATTGACCGAATTTTTTGCATCAAAATCACAAGAATTTTACAACAGAGGGATTAAAATGCTTCCTGAGGGTTGGGCACAAGTAGTAGAAAACAACGGCAACTATACTGTTGATTAAATTTTGTTGTATTGTTTAAATAAATTCGATTTCAAAAAGAATTAGAAAACGACATTAATTATTACTAGACCTAATAATAAATGGCCTGGCTGGTGTGGCTCAGGGATTGAGCATTGGCCTGTAAACCAGGAGATCATGTTCAATTCCAGTCAGGGTACATGTCCAGGGCACATGTGATTCTCAATAGGGAGTGTGCATGAGGCAGCAGATTAATGATTCTGTCATCACTGATATTTCTATCTCTCTCTCCCTGTCCCTTCCTCTCTGAAATCAATAAAAATATTATATATTTCATATATATGTATATATTAAATAAATGGAGATTGGGGAGCCCAGGTTACATAAATGTTTAATTCTACAGTCACTAAATCCAAACTCATGTGTATAGTTTACTTGTAAAATGGGTGCCAGATTTCCACTAGGAATTTAGAAAGAACATTTCCTCTCCCTCTTCCTTAGCACTTAGCCTCTCCACTTTCTTTTTTCTCATCCTGCCTCGACTTCTGGGTAAATGAATCCTCCTCATTCCTACATACAGGCAAGAAATTAGAAAGGATTTTTTTCATTTTTTGACCTTCCCTTCATGTCAGAGTGAGCAGTGTTTTGAAACATACTAGCCTCAATTTTGCAGCAGCCCACAAAGGAGAAAAGGAAGTGACGTGGACTGAAGGAAGTGCAGATGTGGGCTTCAGGAAGCAGGGAGAAGCCCTCTCATGACTAGTTTCTGGAGATTAGGGCAGGAGGTATTTCAGGGAGCGTGCGATGGCAGCATTTATAATGGAGGCTCTCAAATGTGCCAAGTTTTTCCCTGTTACGGGGCTTTCTCTATGCTGTCTACTGTCTGTCTGGAACATTTTTCTCCCAAATCTTCTTATGGCTCATTCCTTCCCATCTGTTCAGGCTTCTGCTTACAATATTACTCTCAGCAGAAGCCCTTCCCAAGAAGGATGGCTATACATCGTCCTCACTCTGGCCTGTTACCCTGCTTCATTGCTACAGCGGACATCCCCACACCTACCAATGGCACCATCACTACTTGAAAATAGACTATGTATTTGCTGATTTTTTTAAAAAAAAATTTTTGTGGTTTTGGTGTGCTTTTTAAAATTTATTTGCAGGTTTTTTTGTGTGTGTGTGTGTGTGTGTGTGTGTGTGTGTGTGTGTGTGTTTTGTTTTTTTAATTATCTTTCTCTTCAATGAGAATGTAAGCTTCAAGAATTCAGAAACTTGATCTGTTTGTCACCTAGAACATAGCAATCACTCACTAAGTTTTTATAGAATGACAGAATGAATTAATGGAGACAGCTTCAAGACTCGAAATTGGCAAGAGTATATATATTATAGAAGCTAATGCAAAGGCAGCCTGGGGTCTAGGGGGAAGAAGCTGTGTAGACAGGAGGTTCAGCATTGGTAGGTGTGGGGATGTCTGTTGTAGCAATATTAGCTGAGGGGGATACATGTAGTCTGGGACTACCTTTGTGTAACCAAAACCCGGAAAAGGAGCATTTATCCATTCCAAGATAATAATGTTTTCATTTCTTCTAAAAAAGTGAACACTTTCTCTCATTCTGCTCCCAAGTCTCACCTCCCCTTCAGCCTATCACCCACTGCAGCTTCCAGGCTCCTGCACTCTCTGTTGTCTGTTTGTCTCTGAGTCTTCCTATTGTTTTTCATTCTCTCTCCCCTCCCTCCTCTCTTTTAGGAAATGACCTAATTTTACAGAGAGGAGCCTGGCCAGCAGTTGAATAGGCTCCAAGATTTTTTTCAT